GCCCTTCCACTTCCAACCTAGAGTCACCTAAATGGAGTAAAGGTTTTTGCAACTGAGATAAGCAACTTCACCTCCCTCCAATGATAAATTATTTGGGCCATGTTTCTTAGAATTACCCAAGGAAAGTCACCTTTAAGAAGTGTGCTTAAGCCCTATATGAATTGAACCTTTTCTTAAATTACTGCTTTGATTTGATTTGAGATATTATTCCAGTCATTAACCTAGCTAACTACAGAACAATCACAGAGATATTTGACCTGTTCCTCATGCTCAACTGTTTCCCAAATCTTAAAAATTTTGTCTCTTAAATAACTCATAAAAGAACAGATTTCTTGAGGGAATGATTAGTATCAAACTCAATTTAAACAACTTAGAATCACCAGGGAAAATGTTATATGTAATATTAATAAGCAAAATCTTAATAACTCTGGCTGAATTCAAGGAAAAGCCAATAACCTTTCTTATTTCTTTCAGTGAAGTCCTAAATATTCTTGATTAATAAGGAAAGAAGTTGGTGTTCAGATTACAAAGTAAGCACTTAAGAAATACTTGAATTTGACAGAGCCAAAACCCAGAAAAATGAAGTAAAAATATTCTTGGGGACTGCCACCAATTTGAGAAGCCTATGGTTAGGCTGTGGTGATCAAACTTGCAATCAGTATAGGAAGGTGATGACTGACCACTGCTTAATGAGGAATGCAGACTGCAGCAAGCTAGAGAAGGTTCCGAAAATAAACCCTAAGAAGGCTTCCCACACAACCAATGCAACACAAAATATTTCCAGTGGTATCTAGTACCATGGCAACTACAAGAAAATTATAAGAAATCGATTTAGAAGCCTTTTTTAAAAAATGTCCTTGTGATGGGTTTCTATTGGTAGACCTTAAATTTAGATAGTAATTTCATATGTAGAAAAATGCCTTCTGGACAAAAGACTATTGTGATTGGGATGAATTAGCCTGTAGAAGCTTCTGCATTCCCATCCTTGAAAATAGCTTATTGTGACTAAAAGCATAGTTCCTAAAGAACAAAAAATATTCTTCCTATAATAGTATCTAGATTGTCACTCAGATTAAATTGTCTTTTAAAAGTTTTTCTTGCATTGAATGCTCTTATAAATTGAGTACAGTTTATTTTATAAGTAAATCAGTAGCTGAATTAAGAAATTTTTGGTGGAGGGCTGAAATGATAGCACAGAGGGTAGGCACAAACATGCGTTTGCCTTGCATGCAGCCGATCCGGGTTCAATTTCCATCATCATCCATATGGTCACCCAAGCACTGCCAGGAGTGATTCCTGAGTGCAAAGCCAGGAGCAACCCCTTAACATCGCCGGGTGTGATACAAAAGAATAAAAAATAATTAAAAAATAAATTAAAAAAAAAGAAATTTTTGGTAGAGATCAGCTTTAGGCATGTTAAACATTAATGTGGAGTGGGGATGTATACGTGAAATCTCAATGTACCCTTCCTCTCAAATAAGCCCTGAGTTTTCCGAGGGCGAAAATGAGCAGGAAGGAACTAAGATACAGTTATACTAACAAAACAGAAATAAAAATCCACAATAATCTAAAGAACTTGTTCTACATATTATTTCCTGGAGAACAGGTATAAGTTCAGATAATTAGTTAGTTCTAAGCGGACAACATGAGTACTGAGTGCAGTTTTGGAAAGAGTACATGGTGGCAGACTGAGCACTCAAGAAGAGCTCAGGAGTGGGTATGGTGCCACCAATAGGTCAATCTGTACCTGTGAGGTGAGTGCACAAGCAGCCTGATGGCGCATTCAGACTTCCAGATACCCCAAAATTGCTGGTGTGCTTTGGCCAGTTCCCAAAAACTTGGGGCAAAGTTTAACAAAAAAGTACACAGCCAAAAGTTAGGTTTGTGGGAGACACACCCACAAACCACCTCGGGCTCGGCTATATAATTTGAGGCATAGCCTCTCTGATTTCTGATCGAACTGCTTACCTGCCATGATCCCAGAAACTCACAAACAAATCTCGAAACCCAACAGCTTTTGGCAGAAATGCATCCGGTCCCTGCAGTAGGTTACCGGCGCTGGGCCAACCCAGGTGGGAATGTTTCGTGCCTTGGCCTGTTCACCCTGGTGGCCTGGTGGCTGCCAACCTCCAGAGGCCACTGAACAGTCTGGGCCCACAGTAACGAGAAACGTGGGGCCTCATGGGATGCGGGTGGAGCCGGCCCTTTCCTCCCCAACCCAACAAGACCCCAAGTCACTGTCCATGAACAGCTTCTCTGGCTCCTGATCAAGATGCTTAACGGCCATGATCCCAGAGACTCAGAAACAAATCTCGGAACTCAGTGGCTTTTGGCAGAAATGTGTCCAGTCCCCGCAGAAGGTTACTGTCCCCAGGCCACCTCAAGGGGAAAGGGTGTTGTCCCTCCACCTGCTCCCCGCAGGTGGCCCAGTGGCTGCAACCTCCAAAAGCTACTGGACAGTCACGTTTGGGCCCTCAGTGATGAGACATGCAGGCGGCTCATGGGATGGGGGTGGAGCCGGCCCTTTCCTCCCCATCCCAATGAGACCTCAAGTTGCCGCCCATGAATGGCCTCTCTGGCTCCTGATTAAGCTGCTTAACCACCATGATCCCAGGGACTCAGGAACAAATCTTGAAACCCAGCAGATTTGGGCAGAAATCCCTCTGGATATAATTGTTAAAATTTCTGAATTTCAAAATTGTGTGGCCACTACTGCAGCCACGTGACATCATATGTTATTCATAACCAGCAATAGAAAACAAATTGTCTACAGTTGCCTTTTCAGTAGATCTGAGTGTTGGGGTAAAATCTCAAATAACAATGGTTTGTCTGGTGTGAAAGTATTGAATGTAATCAAAGTAGAGGGAGAGTAATGTGGAAATCATCTGCCAAACAGGTAGGGGGAGGTATACTGGGTTTTTTGGTGGTGGAGAATGGGCACTGGTGAAGGTACAGGGAGTTTCATTGTATGACCGAGACTTAAACCTGAAAGCTTTGTAACTGCTCTCACGGTGATTCAATAAATAAAAGTATAAAAAATGTGGAAAAAAGAGTAAGGTGGAGTTCATGCCTAATTCAATCAGCTACTCAGTGGCTGAATAAACAGCAGTACTCCTACATAAAAAAGAAAGGAAGAGCTCAGGGACATTCTTTATTGACAAGGTCATCTTGTTCAATGCCAGGCCTGTTGATATAGTGCTGTTTGCATCAGGCCGAACTGAGTGCTATCAGATACACTCCAGCAATACACTAGGACAGCCAGCACTATAATTTGTGGTGTTGGGGGAGTCATGTGATACAAGATGGAGTTCTATCTTTGTACATGCATTCATGTTCCCTTGAGCTATAAGCTACCTCTCCAGCCCCATTTGCATTTTAACTATGGTTAGAAATAAACTAACCTAAATGTGTGATAAAACTGTATAAAGCACATGAATTCACACTTACAGGAATATAAATAATACTAGGGAAGCTCACTAGTGGATCGTATCAGTAGCAGTATATTGATGTAGCTTCTAGAAGATAGTAGCTTAGGGAAAACTGAACAAATGGTACAAGGCATCTGTTTCTTTAATTTCATGTGAATGGACCATTATCTCAAATTAAAAGTCTAAAAAATCATTTCTCTTATTTTCCCAAAAGTTCACACTCAAAAACCATCCAAATGGGAAACAATTTTCTGTCCTTTGTGAAATCAATCTAAATAATTACAAGCATATCTCCAGAACCAAAACAGAACCCACTATATGGACATCTCTTATTAAACCCTTCCAGTAGTCCATAGATCAGCACTTGGAAGTCTACCAAATATTTCCCCTCAGTCAAAGCAGCAGCACATGTCATATTAGCTAACAACTGTAATTTTAATTTGTAATGTTCAAATCAACAAATAAAATACTATCTATTCTGGTTTTTGTTACTCTTGACCTGCAAGATATTTCTACTATTTTTCCTGTTCTTCTCATGTCAAAAAGGTTGAAGAATGGGTTAAAGAAACAGTATAGAGGGCAAGACACTTGATTTCCACATAACTGACTTGATTCATGAGAGGCACCACATATAGTCCTTTGAGCAGCATCAGGAGTAAGCCCTGGGTTACTACAAGGTACGGACTACTACAAGGTACGAACCAATAACCAAAAGCAAAAGAAAAGGTTGAAATATTCTGCTTTAGATAGCTAACAGAGTAATCACTGAGAATATGAGATGGGATATACTCATTGTTAGCAGAATGATGTTTTTTAAACAACTTTATAAATCGTTTGTATTGTTTTGTTATTTTTTTGGGTCACACCGAGCATTCTATGGGCTTACTCCTGCATCACTCCTAGCAGTGCTCAGGGGACCATATGGATTGCTGGGTATAAAAACCTGGTTGGTTGCATGCAATATAAGAACCTTACCTATTGTTCTATTATTTCAGCCCATCATTTGCATTTTTAAAACTCCTCACAGTAAAATAACATATGGATACATGACTTTTTTAATAGTCACAAGCAAAATGTTGACTTTTTAGTCATTTATTAATTATTGTATTTTTTTTGTAATACTCCTTTTGAAAAAAGAAGCACTTAGGTGTCTAAAAGATTGTTTCAGCAATATAGCAAAGGTGCTTAATTAGAGGGTCATTGAAACTGATAGGCCTTACTTAGATATAACTATATTTGATATTCCTCTCTACTATCAAACATATTAAAACTATACACCACAGTCAAAAAATATAAAACATAATAGATATTTCACTGGTTATCATTTGTTTTTGGAGCAGACATGCTGGTCCTCAGGGCTTACCTGAGAACCCTGAGTTCTGTGTTGAGGAACTGGTGGGGACCATCTGGGGTGCCTGGGATACAACTAGCTCAGTCAGATATAACAAGTCTATCTCTCCAACTTAAAAATTATTTTTAGTTATGTTTAGAAATATGTACTTAGGGTTATTAACATAATTTTTACTTTTTGTTAAAGGAATTGTTTTTTAATGTACAGTAGCAAAACCAAACCTGAGCATGTGGGCAGCATTGAAGACCACATCAAATTCCATGCTGTCCAGTTCAGCTGCTTTTTTTGCCATTTCAGCCGCTTCTATGAGGCGAGATTCTTCCAGAAGAAACTGACCTGTAATTTTAAAAGCAAAGAGCTTAATCTTGGAAAACATTGTTATTTTGAAATATTCTAATATTAGTTGTGTATTATATGAAAGAGTAAAGCTACTACAGAAAAAAATACAAAATCACTGAAAAGCTTATCTGAAGCTCTAATTTTTATGTGTCATAAATTAAAGTGCTTTTATTAGTTACATTAATGCAATTTTTAAATTGCAGAATATTGATGGCAAAGCAAAAATGCTTATTTATTTGAAACTCATTTGCAAAATTTAAAGGAAGTTAAAAACTTCCAGTATATGAGCTAGTAAGAATTTGCTGATATCAAAGCCAAGATAAGTAAATCATAAGAATAAAAACCATTCCTAACACTACCCCAGCCATAAACATCAAATCATTACCATATCTCTAATGCAGATGCAAAAAATCCTCAACAAATTTTTAGTAAACCAGGTTCAAGGGTATATATTGTAAGAATCATTCATCATTATTGAATAAGAATTACTCCAGGGAAGTAAGGATGGTTCAACACACTCAAATCAATAGATGAGATATATCATTTCAACAAAATGATAAATTATGATTATATCAATAGATATTTAAAATGTTTTTAACAAGATTTAATGTCCTTTTATAAAAAACCCTAAATAAATGAAAAAAATTACCAAATATAATTAAGGCTATATGATGTATAGAGTCAAAAACAACTTCAATGATGCAAAATTGAGAGCATTCCTCTAAGATCAGACAAAATACAATTTATTTCACCCCTACTTTTCAATAGAGTAGCACAAATCAAGGCAAGAGTGACTAAATAAGGATATAGGACATATACTAACTAAAAAACAAAGTTAAACTACAACTATTTGCTGATGACATACTGCTATATACAGAGAGTCCCAGACTCCTGTTAAAATGCTACTAAAATCAACATATACAGCAATGTGACAGGACACAATACTATAATACAAAAATATGTTTGGTTTTTACATGCAAATAATGAGCTAGCAAAAAGAGAAATCAGAAAAGCAACCCCATTACAATAGAATCAAAAAAAATTCCAATACTTTGGAATGAATTTAATCAATGTAGTCAAAGACCTGGATATGAAAAACTAAGACACCGTTGAAAGAAATAGAAGACACAAAGAGACAGAAAGATATTAAACACTCATGGATTGGTGATGTTAACAATGTCAAAATGGATTTATTACCTAAAGTAATATATGGATTCAATTCAGTTCCTTTAAAAATCCCAATGGCATTCTCTACAGAATTAGAATAATAAATCATGCATTCATTTTCAACTACAAAAGACACTGAAAAGCAAAACACTCCAAAAAAAAGGATAAAAAAATGGAGGGTATAATTCTCCCAGAATTGAAACTACTAGAACGTAATAGAACGTAATAGTAATTAAAACAGCTTAGCATTGTAATCAAAGCACACAAACAAAATCACAGAAGAGAATTAAGATTCCAGAAATAAAAATTCTAATATATGGAGAATTAATTTTTCTACAAAGGAACTAAGAGGATAAAACAGGGCAAGGAAAGTCACTTCAGTAAACAGTGTAGGGAAACTGGTCTACCACCTACAAAATAAACTAGATTGTAGTACACAAAATGAACTCAGGATGGTTCTAAAATGCTGAGTTGTGACATGAGTCCATAAAATACACAGAAGAAAATATAGGTGTCATATTTCTTGACATCAGCTTTAGGGATTTCAAATGGGATGGCTGACTCCAATAACAAGGGAAACCAAAGTAAAAATAAACAAATGCAAATACATCAAACTAGAAATTTCTATATAGTGAAAGAAATTTTCATAAAATGAAAATATATTCTATGGAATAGAAAAAGATATACTAACAACACATATGACAAATGGCTAACACTCAAAATAAATAAAGGTATTATAAAATCTGATAATAAGAAAATTAAATTAAAAGATAACTAGAATGTCTGAATAGACACTTCTTCATAAAAAACATACAGATAGCCCATAAAACAAAGAAAAATGCTTATCATATCTTTCATTAGGGAAATGTAAATCAAAACAAGAATGAGGTAAAACCTCATACCTGTGAGATTGGTTATAATCCAAAATTTAAAAAATTAAAATAAAATGTTGAGAGTGTATAGAGAAGATTTTTTACAGCTTGGTGGGCATGTTATTGGTCCAACTTCTATCAGAACAGCATGGAGATTTATTTCTGCTTTAAAAAAAATCACAATAAACCTCCAAAGGATTGAGCAATGTTAAGTCTAGGTATCTAATCAAAGAACACAGAAACACTAATTTAAAAATTCATATGTGCACTTATGCTCACTAAAGTGCTATTTACATTAGCCAAAATCTGCAAACAGCCCAGGGGCTCAAAAACAAATGAGGGGACAAAAACTACATGTTTGGCAACATGCATATATAAAGTGAAATATTACCAGCTTTTAGTAAAGATGCTATCTTGCTTTTGATACAATGTGGAATGAACAAACAACATGGAATTGCTAAATGAAATAAGTCAGAAGGCCAAAGGTAATACCAGATGATCTAGTTATACATGGTACAGAAAGAAACAAAGGAAGGAAACAAGATAACATCCAATAAAAACAAACCTTTTGAGTCAGACCATAGAGTTGACCACCAATGTAGGGTGGGGGCAGGAATGGGCTGAAGGAGTCCATTGTACTGTGGTGGAAGGATGTTAGCACTTTGGTGGCATGTGGGGAATGGTATATTATACCTCTAAAACATATAAGCACTGACACTCTTTATAACCAGCGTGTCATAAAATGAGAATTTTATTAATCAAAAAAAATAAATAAGTGTGAAGAAAGCGGACAGTTATATGGTGAAGGATAGAACTGACCTCTCAAAGGTGAATGTATATACAAATAGCCTTTGTAGTATATTTCCTAGCTTCTTAAACTTTGGTTGTGACCCCTTGTGAGTTCAAGTAGCTAATTGTGATGGTTGCAAAACATTTATTTTATTTAAACTGTGCTATTTACTATCATCAAATGTTTAATTTGTATGCCCGTTTTACATCACCAGGTTTGTATAAAAATATCTCAGTGAAATGGGTTATGAATGGAAAAAGTTTAAGAATCCCCGGATATACACTTTAAAAAAATGTGGGAGAGAGGGGTTTCACTGTGATTCTGACCAATCAGGTCAGTGGTTCAATGTGCGACCCTAAAGATGGTGCTGCCCAGACCCTGCAGTGCCAGGGATTAACCAAGCTACCCTGGTATGTTTTGAACTTCTGGGTAAAACATAGTGTTTTATGATGATAGAGGGGAAGGACTACATAGAACAGTGCTCAACTGACCATGTGGTGCTGGGGTAATAAATGGGGTCAACCACATGCAAGGCATACACCTTAACCCCTGTACTAACTGGCTCTCACATACTGATTTTCAGTAATACACACTTGAAGTTTATTTAATGCTACAGTACAATAAAGGTATTTTATTTTTAATTTGGAAGATACAGTTGGTATGTAAGGCTATTTACAAACAGTGCAATGTTAAAGGCACAACATCAAGATTAGTCCCAAATTTAAGGCTATACATATGAAGCAAGAAAACTCTGCCATCCCCCACCTTGCCCCCTGCCCTCTTCTTTTTTAATATAACAAGGGATTTATTAACAGCAAAAGCCATGACTTTAACCCCCACCCCGCCCTCTTCCTTTTTAATATAACAAGGGATTTATTAGCAGTAAAAGCAATGACTTTAAACCTTATCTAATAGGATATTTAAATGAAAATCACATTTGAGGGATGTCAGAGATACGCTAAAAGGATTTAGAAAACTGCTAGACTTGTAAACTGTAGTCTAATCATTATTTAGTTTTGCTTTATATTTCCTGTTTGTTCAAGATTTTAACAATATAAAAATATTATAAAGCCAGTTTCCAAGTCCTGGTGGTATACAGGAACAAAGAAACTAAAAACTGATAAGTTTTCTCTGACAGCTGTTTAAGAAGCCTATTATTTACTTTTCCCTCCTAATAAGTAGTATGAATTATCTTGTGATTCAGAGGGAAAACACAAGGGGAAGATTTTTCATCACAGAAAACTAAATAATCCATAATTACCATTTGTATTTAAGCATTTTAAACTTTATTTGATAAAGGGTGGTAAGAAAAGTTAGAAGGAAGTGACAAATTTTTAAGGACAGGACAAAGAGTTCTAAGCTATTTCTACAAAAACAATCTAACATCACATTCACCTGGTATCCTGTGCTTCTCTTATGTTCCAAAACAAACATGTTTGATGGGTTAAAAACAGCTGTAATTAAATTTATAATAAAAAGGGCAAATTACTTATGGAATGTATGTAGCACATTAACTCAACATGCAAATTTATATGAACTCCAATTTAATGCTACTTTCAAAAATTAAAACAAGAATACTCTGTCACATAGTGAAAAATTTCACATACAGCTTAGTGAATGGTACTAGGAAAATAACATTCTTCAGTTAATTATGCTTGTTATAGATTTCCTTTTGAGTTAAAACATGATTGTTACCGGTCTTCAAAGTATGCCTAAGTAAACACATGGACAAGTATATTAATAGCTTATGTCCTATTTAGACATAGAAAAAAATAGGAATTTATTAATATTGTTTCCTTTCTGGATAGTTATTAACTCTGCAACATATGCTGTTTAGGAAAATGCAACAATTAGTTGAATAATGAGGGTTACTTTCTTAAAGTATAATTACTCCAGTCTGTAGAGGGATAAAGAGATACATGAGCTCTGGTAGAATAAAAGATTTAAAAAAGGACATGTTATCTATATTGTCCACATAAAAACTGAGGGACACTAATCAGAAGCTTATGTGATAAAGGCAACTGGTGCTCAGGTACTCAGTTTATATGAACTGCCCAGGGCAAAGCCATTCAAGCTTTGTCAATGTCAAGCACATCATTAACTCAACAACAAAAAGGTGCAGTAACATTAACTGTGTAAGCTCAACAAAACAATAAAATCCATAATTT